ATCTGTCACCAAGCCAAGTATGCTCCTGGTGTACCCCCGGTCTCTTGCAGCCCTTGCCCATGCCAGAACGACCGTGGGGGGCAGTTTCATTGGATTTCATCATTGAGTTACCACCATCGAATGGTGCCACAACCATTTTGGTGGTGGTGGATATGTTGACTAAAATGGCCCACTTTATTCCGTGTGCGGGTCTTCCATCGGCCAAGATAACGGTGCAATTGTTTATCTCCCATGTTTTCCGGTTGCATGGGTTACCAGACCACGTGGTATCAGATCCGGGGGTACAATTTACAGCACGCTTCTGGCAGACCCTACTCGCGAAACTGCAGGTTCAGGCGTTTCTGTCGTCTGCTCATCACCCTGAAACTGATGGGGGGACAGAGAGAGTGAATGCTGTTTTGGAGCAGTACCTCCGCTGTTTCAGCAATACTCAACAAGACAATTGGGTGGAAGTGCAGCCAGTGGCAGAATTCGCTTATAATAATGCTCAACATGCATCCACCCGTGTGCCCCCTTTCTTTGCTAACTATGGGTTTCATCCATGACTTTTTCCTTTAGCCCCGTCTGATTCCCCAGTTCCGGCAGTGGATACGTTCTTGCAGGAGTTAAAAGCCGTGCACCACATGGTCCGCAATCAACTAGAGAACACCAAGGAGGACTATAAACGGTTTGCAGACCACCATCGTCGCAATGTTCCGCCTTTAGTGGTAGGTGATCGGGCTTGGCTCTCTACTCGATACTTACCAACGACGCAACCATTGAAAAAGCTTGATCACCGTTACTTGGGACCTTTTCTGGTCGAGGCGATGATCAATCCTGTGGCTTATTGTCTCTCCCTGCCACGGACCATGCATATCCATCCTGTTTTTCATCATTCCCTGTTAGTCCCTGCCTCGGCCGACAGTCCGCATAGACCGACTCCATCACAGCCAGCCCCAGTAGTCCCTCTGGGAGAGGAGGAGTACGAAGTGGATAGCATCCGAGATTCACACCAGTTGCGAGGCTGATTTCAGTATTTGGTGGCATGGAAAGGTTATGGACCAGAGGACTTCACCTGGGTCGATACCACTGATGTTCATGCTCCTCGTTTGGTCCAGGACTTTCATGCTCGGTTTTCTCAATGTCCTCATCCGCCTGGTCCTGGGGGAGGCCACCATGTGGGGGGGGGGATAGTGTCATGCCCCTGGTGGAGACTGACTGAGGAAGAGGAGGAACAGCCAACAGGGAGTGGGAATGTGGCTCCAGAGGTGATGGAGGAGGCTAGGGAAGGGCAGAGGCCGGCTGAGCAATCAGAGGATCCAGGCCCATCCCCTATCCATCCTAAGTCATGCAGGGAGGATAGGATCAGGGAAAAGTGAGGTCTACTCAAGAGGAGGTCTACTCATGATCCTCCTCGTGGCTTGCAGCTGGGAGCTATGTATATAAGTTTGTAACTGCGTAGTCGGAATTGCTGGAGTCAAAGTTTAGTGTTTACTTTGAAAGAGGTTTATCTTTGCTGGCGTCCTTCCCATGGACTCTCCTCGGTTATTTTCTGGAGTTTATGATTAGTTATCTTGGCTTGCTTTGGAACTCTCGTCAATGCAGTTTGTTTTGGTTTTCTTTTTGCCTCATTATTTACATTTGTGATTTTAAACTGTGCCTAATAAAACAGGGAAGTTAAGTTGAAGGCCTTACTGGACTTTAATGTATGTTTTGGGTTTTGGGTTATTTTGAGAGACTACGGGTCATCACAGGATAACAGGCATGATATTCCCCTCAGAAAAAAAAATCGGGGCCGGCCAAAAGAGACCCCCACCGCGCGCCAAGAAATCGCCCGCCCGCCGCGCGCGCCTGCCGCCGCGCGCTCCCGCCCGCCCCTCGCACCGACCACCGCGCACGCCCGCCGTTCGCACCAACCGCCGCTCGCACCGACCGCCGCGCGCGCCGCTCGCCCGCCCCTCGCACTGACCGCCGCTCGCACCGACCGCCTGACCGCCACTCGCACCGACCGCCCCGCGCGCGCGCCCGCCCACCCGCCGCTCGCGCCCGCCACTCGCCCGGGCTCCGCTCGCACCGCCCGGGCGATTCCGAAAAAAATCGGAATTCCGATTTTAATCGGAAAAATATCATGCCTGGGATAAGAACCGCCACAAAAACACCTTGCTTCCCATTCCATGATTGAATATTTAGGAATTAATCAAATTGGATTAATCAAATTAATCAAATTTACACAGCACATGGCACCACTGGCTAAATTCTCATTCACTCACAACCACAAATTAACCAACCTGGCAGGTTGTGTGAATCTATTCTCTAATTGTCAGTTTTATTTCTGATCACCAGAATCATTGGCCTAAAGCCAGAAATCCATAGATAATCCATACTCTGAACCCTGTAATAAAATTAATGAGTTGGCAGGCTAGCAGTACAGTGGGTTGCTTATACATGGTTCCCAAGATGCTTCATGAAGGAATACAACTTGCTGAAAAACTCATGGGGTTTGTTCCAGCAACTTATTATATATATAGGGTCTAACAAGCGAGCAGAAATAGTGCTATATTTGTTCATTGCTTTCAGTTCTGCTCAAAAGCTGGCAGGCTGCTTGGGACAAAAAAGTTCACTGTGATGTGAGGCAAATGTTATTTTACCCTCCCTGACCAGGTTTTTTTTTCCACCAATGTTCTGAATTGGCTAATTCAAAAAATATCCCTCATGAATGTTAGTAGCTACATGCATTGTTTTCAGTCTAAACAGAGGGAAAACATGCTCCTCTTGAAATCAGTCATGATAGCACATGAAGAATGATCATTACAATTCCTGCTCCTGATAAGTCCATCATTTACTTAGCAGAACTATTTTCACTGCAATAAAATGGAAATTCTGATCCAAGGTGATTGGATAAAATCTAAATAGCACAGAAATGAAGAATTCTTGTTGTTCTGCAGTGGGAAAGCAACTGCAGGGTATGCTTTTATTAGAATTAGTAAAGATGAACAGCTTAGGAACAGCCTTTTTTCATTGTCATTTTATAAACCACTATAAATATCTTCATGCAAAGGCCTATTACATTGTTTAAGGTCAAATAAGGAAGAATTACCTTTTCCTTCTAAATTTCTTCCTCCTAAGCTCATTCTCAATTTATACCCTGCCAATCCAGCTCTTTCCTTCTCATCACCCTATAGCAGACATCTCAGGTTGCCATATTTTTTCCACACTTTCAGTCATTTGCCTTGAAATGTTAGAGGTGTTCCAATGTAAACACAGTGAAAGGTTATGCTGGCATAGCTTAGAATGTGCATTGTTCTGCTCTCCTCTCTGTGTGTCAGTAAAGCAGAATGTTACCAGGAGCACAAAAGCTATGGCAGAAGAATTCCAGCTAGAAAAACAGTTGTAAGAAGTGTGTCCACTGTAAACTAGCACCATATCCTTTGCTCAGTTTCAGGCATTCCACTGGGGTTTGTGTGAAAAGGGCAAATAGCAAATATAAAAAAGAATGTGCACAAAGAAAGCATGCTATTCTCCTAGTCTTTAGCAACATCTTTTCCTCTGGTTGGCCACATCTGTTGCCCTTCACCAAGGTAGTACCATAGTGATATTTCCCTCCCACCAAGATCCCCTCCTGATTTGGGAGTTTGTTCTCCTCCCAAGTCAGGACTTTGGTTCTACAATAAAAGGCACACCTCCAAGAACCTGCTGTGCATCCATAACCCAGAACTGGGCTTGCATTAACTCCCTGCCCCTTGCATATAAAGCCAGGCTTCACTTCCATAGCTGCTGGAGAAAGACCTCTCTGCAGCAAACAGAGGTGACAGTAGCTCCAAGCAGCAGCAGCAGCAGCAGCAAATTGACCCAGGGAAGGGCATTCCCAGGACAGAAAGCTGCAGGGATGACGTTGCAGGGAAGGCAGGCAAGCAAGCAGAACAGCTCCACCACCTTCGGAAGGGGGGGGGGGAGGACAAGAATGGGAGGAAAGTCCGGGGCACAAGATATGTTTGAAAGGATGGATTTTGGCTCAGGACTTGAAGGTCAATTCGCTTCATCTTGTCTACGGCCTTTAAAAAAAATAAAAAAGACAAACGATCTGGGCACGGAAGATTCAATTACGGGAACAGCTTAACTGCTACACTGCCTCTGATTATGCCAGGCGCGCCTACCAATCTTTCTTCGCACCACAATATTGGTTAATGCCCTTTTGTAGTTGGCGAATGTCAGCCCGAACCAACCAGGAAACCTCGCGGATGCAAACAAACGGACAGTTTTCGCCGACCGCGTTTCCTGGTTCTCCTTGCGGTTACTATGGAATGGAGGAAGGGAGCACTTTTCCCCTCCCCGTTTTTCTCCTTCAAGCTGTTTGTCCGGCCTGCGCCCAGGTGCGTAAAGCGCACCGGCCTCTCTTCTGGGCAGACCGTTCCGTCCCTTAGCCAAGCGGCTCGTCAATGAGAGCGTCCTTTCTGGTCTCCTCAGTCCCGCAGCCTGACCGAAGCGGCCACCTTTGGCCTCCACTCCCCTCCGGGGCCGCCGAGTTCCCGTTTCGAGCTGTTAATCTGGAAAGATCAAACTCGCTTCGGTTCCCGGGCTCTGTCCTCCACTCCCCCACCCCCTTTATGCGCAGGACTCCCACTGCCTCCCCCCTCTGACCTAAGAAGGAATTACAGGGGCATTTTCTCGTCTCTTTCGCCTTCTTTGCCTGCGCGCAACAGTGTGGCTTGAAGCACGTGCCGAGGCGGCAAGAAGAAAGGCCGGCAGAAAAGGGGAAGAGAAATAAAGGAGGAGGGGGTGAGAGAGGGAGGGAGGGAGAGAGAGAGAGAGAGAAAATCTGCCGCAGAGAATCTGCCTCTTCAACCACCCGGCCCCCCTCAGTCTCCCGCGCCTCGTACCCTGCTTATCTTCCCCTCCCTTCCCCTCGCCTCGCCTCCCAAGCTTCGCTCCCTCGCCCGCCTGGCTACAGCTCTAATTGGCTACCGGCATTTGACAGGCGGAGCTCGCCTCGGGACGTGGCCAATATATCCAGCATGAGTGGGAGGGCACAGAGCTAATTTCTGTCCCTGGGCCGAGCCCCGTTTCTTTCTCTCCCCCCCCACCCTTGGCTTCTTCTCACACGGACACGCTCGCTTGCTCCCTTTTCCTCTCTGCTGCCTCCTCGCCACCCGCTTTCCTTGTCTTCCCGGTTTTGGGAAGAGCGTCCATCCGTCGAAAGGATACCTGAGCTACAAGCACATACATCTCTCTTCCTCTCTCCTGACAAGGATTTATTTATTCAGAGGTTCGGAAGGTGGGAAGCTAAACCCGGCACACAAAAGACCTTTCGCTTTGCCTCCCGAGCGGCTGCCGGCAGTTCAAGCAGCTGCCAACATCTGTACCCTGGATTAGTGGCGAGCGCCGAGCGATCTCGGAGGGCAAGGGCGTCTTGCGACCCCTCACACACACACACACACACACACACACCCCACTCCCTGCACAGGCAGGCGAAGGAAGCTCCTGATTCATGGCTCGCGGGAAAGCCAAGGACGGGGATGGCAACTGGAAGAAATTCATCTGGAACTCGGAGAAGAAGGAATTTTTAGGGAGGACCGGCGGCAGTTGGTGTGAGTATCTGCTCCGCCGCGATTTGCTTCTTGTGCTCCGCACAAGGCGGCGCGGGGTCAATTGATGGCGTGGGAGGGAAAAGTCCGCCGTCTCGCGTGTCCGTGTTGGATCGTCGGTCTGAGCACCTGACTCGCGGTAGCCGCTTTCCTTCCCAGGCCGGCAGGGCAGGGCAGGGATGCCGTCGACGTGGTGTAAATCTTGCGGGTCGCTTTTCTCGCTCGGGGTGGCTGGCTCGCTTCCCTCCCATCTCCCGTGCTGTCCGGTTTAAAAATACACACCAGACCCCCTACTTCCCATCTTTGGGGGTGGGGGAACCCAGGAGGCTTTGTATGGGAGGTGGGAGAGATGAGCAATGGTCTTGTGCCCCCAGGGAGACTTTCCAGGATGGCAGAACCTTTCAGGAACTATGACAAACCAAGGAGGGTTGAGGGTTATTTTTAAGCCTTAGATGTGTGAGTTCATGGAACACGCCAACTCCCCCCCCCCCCACTCCCAGCCCAACCAAGGCTAATGCTAACTGCGCTTAACATATTAACACAAACTATTGTGGTAACACTGCCATCATTGGCTGCTTGCGCATTGTGCATGTAAAAAAGGATCAGGTTGATTTTCTTTTTGTGGAATTAGCTTAGTGGTTGTTGCTATGGCAGACTTTCCTGGGAGAAACCTGGAGCTCTGATTGCCTCTCTGCTTTCCCCAATCTGGGGGGGGGGGAGTCCATCAGATGTGAGGCCAACATTCCCAGGTGGGCTGGGCAGGGTGTGATCAGAACTGACATTCAGTATCCTTGGAGGGCCTTCCGACTGGGGAAGGCTGGCTGCTTTGTCGCCTTGCACAGTGGACTTTCATCTCCGTGCTGCAGCCTGTTGCCTCTGCATTAAAAGAGCAGCCTGCTTTCCTTTTCCTTTTCTCTTTTCCTTCCCCCACCCCCACCCCATCAAAAAGGTCACACTGAAGGGCATTGATAGACACGAACGAACGTGTCGTGACTGCAGGCAGGGCAGAGTGGGTAGGTGCCAGGAGAGAGGGAGCGCCCTGCTCCTCCTTCTCCCACTATACTCCTTGTCAGCATAGTAGCCACTGCGGCTGCCTTTGCTTTGCTCAGGAAGGACACCACACAGGGAGAAGGACGTACCAGTGAAGGGGCCTGGTGTTTCCTTTTGCTTCTCTAAAATGGCTACCAGAATCCTTGGGAATTGGGGACGGAAAAAGAGAAGGCTTGGACTGTTTTCTAGCCCATCAACTCCAAAGGGTTAATAATGCATCAGAGCTCAAGGTTAGTCAAGGTGATACCTTCCAAGCAAAGAGGTAATGGCAGACTTGCTCGAGATCCCTGGGGAAGCAGAGCAACTGCATTAAGGAGAATCCTGAATTGGTTTAAGAGAGGACCTTTTGGATGGATACACACATCTCTTGAAAATCTGACTTGCTGTATGTCCATATACCTTCCCTGAGAGAGGAAGGTCTAAAGAGCTGCAGAGGTAGGAAAACGAGACGGAGAGAAAGGTCAAGTTGAAAAGCAAAAGAAGTTTAGAAATAATAAAGTCCTTGAAGGCTGCCTCTTAACAACTAAACCTAGGTTGAATGGGACTTGAAGATTCAGAACACACGCAGGCAAAAATAATTTGATTGTTCACCCTTCCTTTTCACACTCACTCTATTTGCTGCTTGGTTTAGACATCCTTGCCTCAACTACCACTATAGGAGTGAGGCCCTATTCATGGGCTCACAAATCACTCTGTGTTGCACAAGCCAGCTCAAGCGCAAAAGTCATTGTAGATTTTCAGAGACTTACTGATCTGCCAATTCCCCTGTCACTTTTGACAATTTATAAAACAATATTAACTTCAGAACAGGCACTGTTGTCTTCCCTTGCTTTTAAACAGGCTTTTTGTGCCAGCCAAGAAGCACTAAATACTATTTATTTTCTAGTCGTTTCCAAGGGAAAAAGTCTTGACTAATTTTCATGTGGATTGTGCAGAGCACATTCAGGGCCTTTTATATTACAGTAATATGCTAGATATGACTGTCCTTGAAGGAAAGGATAGGTTGCCCTTGAATCTCATCCTACCACTGATGGAGTTTGAAACTTAAGTAGCTCTGTAGATCCCGCAGAGTACAGTATCTAGAACATTCTAATCTCTTCTAAAGATTTTTTTTTTTTTTGCAAATTAGAAACATCAACTATACCCAGAAGCAACAAATAGGTTTATGTGGTAAAAAAATGTTTGTAATGAATGAGAATGGCTGTATGAAATAAGAGCTTAGAGAGGAAAGGGAAAAGGTTAAGTGCATGTCAGAATAATCCAATGTTAGTTTAAGAATTCTGGTTAGGGAGCTGTTTCCAGCTGCATTTGTTGCCCAGGTGCCACTTCATGGCTGAATCTAACTAATGTCATCTTAGAAATTTTCAGGCTTGAATCCTCATAAAATAGATGAATAATGGCTTTCATTACAGCATAATTCCCATCATCACAAACTATGGCTTAGTTCTGACTAAGTTGATTTAGTTCAATTATTCTCAGGGTACTGGACTGTCTTGTGATGCCCAATTACTGAGGGGACAATAAAATGTCCCTTATTATATCACTTTCAGAGTAGTTAGACCAGTAAATGATCTCTACATTTGATAGTACGCTGTTCTATTGCTTTAAAAATGCCATGCCTTTCCTTTTAGAACAGATTTCTTCTGTAACCCCAGGAAGACAGTGGAACTTGAGGTTGTGGGTTACTATTAAGATCCTGATTAGGAATGTCATCTAAACACATGTCCCTTCACTACCCTCCATATGCTCCACCCGTAGCACTTTGCTGTCAGCAGGTTTTCTCTAGTTCATTTCAACAGCACCTCTTATGACTGTACTCTGGAAAAAATGCTCAAATCTCTCTGACGTCACAGTTATTTGCCTACTGCTGCCTGGTTACTGTAGAGTGTGTTAAACCCAGGAGTGCTAAAACTATTGTGCTCCTGGTCTCTCTGGATTACTTTCATTTTTCCCTTCTTTGGTGGAAAAACACCTTATTTTAATAGGGCTTATCTTGACCAGCTTGTGAAAGGAGAAAAATTTTTCTGTATGTATTACTTATTGCTGCTCTTTTAAAGCCATTCTGTACAAATATTGGTTCCAAAGATCACCGCTTTTAAAATGTAATTTGTAGTTTCACTGCCCCTTTTATATTCAAAAGTTGGATTGCTAGTAGCCTTGCACAGTGAGGTTTTAGTACAGTATGTAACACTGCTGCTAATCGGTTGAGATAATCCCTGTAAACTAAAAACTGATAAAACCAGATTTCAAAAACTGAAGTTCCCTGAAGCGGTATTACAAATAAAGTTTTATTTCTCTTCCTTGAAAAACAGCAACAACACCCCCCCCCCACACACACACCCATTTTATTCTGTTATAATATTTTTGGGCATTAATCCAGCTGATTACAATTTGGTATTGTAACTAGGTGATTAATATGGAATAGGTTTCTTAATAGATTATATAAAAAGCAAAATATGAGAAAGCTGTTGAGAACTGAGTCTTCATAAGAGGATTTGAATCCACATAAATGTTGGGAAAGAGAGTTTAAAAAATTGAAAACAAGGAGTTTAATCAAAATAACTATTACAGCGAGTTGTGTTTTTATGCAACTTCAGATATAGATATAATTCCAAGAACATGCTTTAAGCTTTCCTATGTAAAAAACATTCAGAATAATATGTGTAGATTTTAGATCCATTTGTAACAAAGTTGGGTGTTAGTTGAATGTGATTAATTACAATAGTTGTCTCTTACTCATTTATTTATCTGATTTATATTGTGCATTTTATAGAGAAGTACTCTATCCCATATTTTCCCACAACAGCAATTCCATGAGGTAGGTTGGACTAAAAGAAAATAGCTGGCCTAAAGTCACCCAATAAACTTCCTGGAACTCTCCATGCTTGGTCCAACACCTTAACTACCACATCACCTTGTTATCCTATTTAAGGTCTATATTCCCTATCTCTCAGTGGTCCAGTTTTGCAATATAAACCATTAACTCTGAGTTTGTTAGCAGGAAGTTATGTTGGAGCTGGGAATGCACTGCTCCTGAATTCCTTTAAGGACACAGAGATCTAGCTAGGCATCGTTCTGGTTCTAACAATATCAGCCAGTCTTTCCCAACATTATACTTTTCAGATGTATTGGATTATAATTCCCACAACCTGCAATAAGCAAGTCCTTTCTAAGTAAATGTATTTAGGATGGTTGTTTGTTAAAAATTATTCTGTTCTGATCTCTTTAAATGTAGGTGCCATTGCTTGTGTTTGCTATCTTTTCTTCATAGCTATTGGCTTTAGTGTTGATTTTAATTGACCTGTACTGGTAATCTTGAAAAGCTGATGTGTATTCTAGTGGCCTATCAACCTTTTGTCCTTAATAGCAGTATCTGTTCTCTCTTGTCACAGTTAAGATCCTCCTCTTCTACGTGATCTTCTATGGCTGCCTGGCAGGCATCTTCATTGGGACCATTCAAGTCATGCTGCTCACTGTCAGTGAATTCCAGCCCAAGTATCAGGACCGAGTAGCACCCCCAGGTAACTATGTGGACAGTTGGGTAGGCTAATTACATGCCCCATTGCAGTGGGGTGGATACGGGTTTGCCTTTGGGGCTTTGTTGGGTTTTAGTGCAGGCTAATTACATGCCCCATTGCAGTGGGAGAGATATGGTTTGCCTTTAGGGCTTCTGGTATTCTGACCTAGGCTTCCTTAGAAAGCATAAAACACAACCTTAGTCCCAGCAAAACCTCTTTTATTTCCATGGCTGTGAATTCCATTCATTCATAGCCTGCAAGGCTTCACAAACAGTCTTTCAAGAGAATGTTTATAAACACCCACCTTATCACACTTGGAATGCTGCTTGAGAACTAATTGCCAAACGCAGGGCAAGGCCAAACTTGACACAGAGTCAAACAGAACTTTTCAAAGCTTGAATCAATCAGATGAACTAATTGCTTCCTGCAAATGCTCACATCCCATTTGCTCCTCTTTTATGTCCTGTGGGAGGGACCAATCGTCTCCGAGGTGTGGCCTTACTCCTGAGTCGACCCTACTTTCTCAATTGGTCTTGTCTCTTGGTAGCTCTGCGCATGCGCAAGCTGGGAACCGGTTCCAGAAACTCCCCTGCCTCACTGCTGTCTGAGTCTGAAGGCAGCTGATGACTGCCAGCCTGCCCTAGCCCCATCTCTGCCTCTGATGCAGAGCCCTTGTATGAGCCTTCCTCAGCCTCCAAGACTGGCCCAGGTTCCTCCCCAACCTCCTCACTACTGTCTGACTCTGCTGCCAGCTCCATCAGCTGCCAGCAGGCCACAACAATTGTCTGGACGCTAGGCAGTTACTGTTACCCAGCCCTACAGGACCTAGGCATTTTTACAACCAGGGAAAGCCTTTCCCCCCTCTCTTCTCTGGACCTACTTCTGTTCTGGTATCCTCCAGATATACCTAATTATATCTGACTATAGTATAGATTTCTGTAGGAGTGGCTTGATTATATTCTCTTTTTTTTAAAGAATTGTGGACAACATATTGCATTAATAAAGGGTCAGAGAGAAGAGAATAAGAGATTATTTGACATAAACAGTATATATTCTGCAAGATGCTGAGGATAAGGATGAGGACCAGATTGTTGTCCTAAGTGTTATTGCTCTTCATTAGATTTTAAAATGTAATTAAAATTATCAATAACTACAACTCTGCAATGGAATACCTATCAAATCCTGTAAATACAGAGGAAGGAACTGGAGCATTACAAAAAAGATTCCTTACTCCAGAAATGGGGGAAAGTTTGAGAAAGACTGTAAATCTGCCTTAATCATACTACATATATATTCATGTGGAGATTTGCTATTACTCTACTAACAATGATGATCATTCCAAAAGTCCAAGGGATTCTTGTTTCCAAAAGGATCTGACAGACTGACATAATGTCCTCAAATTCGAAAGAAGCCAGAATATAAATCAGGAAAGAAAGCCTTTTAATTTAATCGGATATAGGCATGTTTAGCATAGTCAAGCCTTATCTTCTGTTAAATTTGACTAAATTCAGGTCAAATTTGTTAAGTTGAACAGTCCTAAATGCAATAGCATTGCATGAAGGAAGTGCTATTATGTCACTGGACTTTGATTCCTGGAGCCCTGATTCTAATTTAATATACAAGCCTTGTTGCTATGTAATACATGAAGTCATTGTATGAACCACCCAAGTGTTAATAGAAGTGGCTACTTGACACATCTGGATTTTAATATAAACTGCATAAATTGCTCAGAGTTGTTGTGAATTGGGCAGCATATATATTTCATAACTAATAATAAATAAAACAACTGGAAGAGGTGTTTCAGAGGACCTCTGGGGAAGAAATGGCAAAGTGAAGACGGCTCAACTAAAAGTGAAGCCAACAGCCACAGTGGAATGAAGAGCTGACAAATAGTCTGTCTCTTTGTAATTCTTCTCCGGACAAGGAGAGGTCTTCAAATTGTCCATAAGTACTGCATACAGTTGCTCTTTACATGAGCAGTCTCAGGCAGATTTAGAGCTCTGGGAAAAGAAGGAATACACAACAAGGGAATTGAAGGGTCAGTAACTTCTAAAGGACACTGAGTTTGCATACTTCTTTTTATTATCATATTCAGAAATGGATTGTTAACTGCTTTTCAGCTATTAGAAACCTTTGGATTCACAAGTTTTATAGCAGTGAGTGAGCTTCTTTCAATCCTTAGCAAAAGAAGTTTTAAATATACATTTGAGGATTTAATTGTTTTTTTTTTACTTTTGGAATAAACAGCAAATGAGGGATCAGACGTTGATTGTGAAAGTCACAAACTGACTAGGGCCTAGATGTACTTGAAATAAGAGTTTGAAATCATTAATCATAAGAATATTTCCTGTGGGAAAAATGCTTTTGCTTTGAATTTTCTTTTTAAAAAAACATGATAGGCTGATACTTTGAAGGTTGGACATTAGAAGGAACCAGAAGGAATTAGAGTACAATTATAGAGGAAGAACACTAAAATTTGACTTGCTAATAAGAACAGATCAAAATATTTTAACATTGCACATGCTGAAGGATATTTTTGAATAATGGACCTAGACGTTAATTTTAAAATGTCTGCCATTATAGATAGACTGTATTGCAGAGATGTTATGGAAGAGGAACACATTTTACTGAATAAGATTGAGTTAGAAACAGAAAACTGTTAGCAGAAAAAGACCTAGTGGTCTGCCTTTTGAGGTTTTTTATTTTTAAATTTTTGTCAGATGATAAACATATGTTTATCCCAAGAATGTTTAAACTCAATTACAAATCTGCTGGAAATTAGTTTCAAGCTTCTCTTACTGTTTCTGTGAAATATTTTCTAGCATTACTTTTGTCCTTCTTGTCAGTTTGAGGTTATACCCTTGTGTTCTTGATTTTTGCTTAATATTGAAAATTCTTCCTTATAGAACCTCATTCACACTGTAATATATTTAAAGGTTTCAGTCATGTTTTCCCCCTTCATTCATGTCCTCCAGGCTGTGCATATTCCTCCAATCTCTCCTGATACCTTTTATTGAACTTGCATCATTTTTGTTGCCCGTCTCTGGACTCACTTAATCTTATTAATATCTTTTTTAAAGTGAGATCTCCAGAACTGGACACAGTATTCCAAATGGGGTCTGACTAAAGCCCTATATAGTGGGATTGGGACCTCATTTTTCCTGCCACTGATCCCTCTAGTGATGCATCCCATAATTTTGTTTGCCTTCACAGCTGCCTGGCCATACTGTTTATTCATTTTACAGCCTCTGCTATGAGCACACCTAAATTCTTTTCTTCTATTGTTCAGTCTAACAATACTGTATCCACAATACTATACCTTGCCAGAGGGTTGTTTTTCCCTAGGTGCATGATCTTACATTTAGAAACATCAAACTGCAGTTTCCACATTTTTGACCAATTTTCCAGCAATGCCAAACCATTTTCCACGTTACAAATACCCCAAAGGTACATCAACTCTATTACCCACTTTGTGTCATCAGCAAAAAAACATCTAGCCATCCTTCTGTTATATCGCTTACAAACACATTGAACAGAACAGGATTTATGGCTGAGCCTTGCGGTACGCTGCTTATGACTGGTCTTTATTCAGACAGTGTCCCATTAATAATCACACACTGGACTCTATCTCTGAGCCAACTTTCTACCCACTGAACTACCCAGTGATTAAGCTCTAGCCTGTACAAAATTTTATGAGCTCATTATGTGGAACATTTTCGTCCAAACATTTGTGACTTAGTTAAAGAAGTCAATCAGATTAGTTTGACGTGATCTCTCTCAACAAAGCCATGCTGTTTTGGGTCCATCAAATTGTGTACTTTTAAATGTTTGTTAATCCTTTATTTCAGGAGTGATTCCATTAACTTCTCTACTACAGATGTTAAGCACACAGGTCTATAGTTTCCAGATTCTTCCCTAACTCTAATGGATGGGTACAAAATTAGCTGTTCACCAATTCTGAGGAACTTCACCTCTTAGAAGAGACTGGTTACACAGATCAGTTAATGGTCCAGTGAGCACACTTAGAAGTTCCGTTAGGATTTTGGGATGAATATCATCCAGACCAATTGCTTTATTAAGCTTTCAGCAGACTAGCTCACCTCCCACCTCAACCTCTAGGAAAAGAATCTGTCCTGCTAGGACTAGTAAACCTCCAACCTGTTTTTGTTACTGGCATCTACTTCTAAAAATCCTGAAAAGAAGTATTGGTTGAGGTAGTTTGATACAGCCAGGTTTCCCTTAAAATAATTCTTATAATAAGAATTGTTTGCATTTTTGAATTTGGTGATTGAACAGTTTTCTCCTCCTTCTGTCGTTAATGTACCTAAAAAAAAGTTTTATCTCCCTTTTTAATAGATGTAATCAGTTTTATGCTACCCTTCAAATTTATTTTTTAGATACTCCATTTCAGTAAAAAACTTGTCTGCTTAAAATCTAAAACCTTAGTTGTAGTTTATGTTATATCAGTTTTAGTTTTAATGTCAAACCAAAGGCATCGGTGACCACTGTAACCTACGTTTTTCCCCCCACCTCAACTTCTGGAACCCTATCCCTATTTGTCAAAACTAAGTATAGAATATGCCCCCCTCTTGTTGGGCACTATACTGTTTTACAGAGGCCTTATTTCATGTCTCTCATTTAATGTCCCTAATATCTTAGCTCCTCCTTTTAAGTTTAGTTGAAAGATTCCAGTTAATGTTGAGCACATTGAAGTCACCCATGATTATAACCTCTCCTTTTATTGCCATCTGGGTTATCTCCTCAATCAGAATGCTATCATAATCCTTTGAATGTCCTGGGGGCCTATATATAACACAATTCTGATTGCTGACCACTGTTTAGTTGTAAGCAAACTCAGAGGATTTGAAGTAGATCGTGTCTTTTCTGAATTACCTGGTAGAATTACTGATAATATTGCTTTTATGCCGTTCTTGACAAATGGCAACTCCACCCCACTTTTTCTAGCCTGTCTTTTATGTAAAGTAAAGCCTGTTTTATTTATA